TTAAAAAAAAACCTATATATTCTTTATAAAAAAGTATTTGTTTACAAATAAAAGATCATATTAAATGGTTTATCTGTAATTTATAATTATAATAAATGAAAATTAGATCATCATTAATTTAGATATACAGGGTGGTCTAAAAGTCAGTTAACACAGGTCGTAAAACCAATTTGAAACTACTACATGCAGAGTATTCATGATTAAACTATTATATTAAAAGAAACTGAAACATGAACAACATTTAGTTTGTTACAAATTGATTTAACTACTCTTAAAAAAAAGATTTTGGTTAACTGACTTTTGGGATATTCTGTATATACATCACTCTAACTTCTGAAATATAAAATATGTATATCTTACAGAGAGTGGTAAAAACTTAGTGCTAAGCCACTATAAAAATTGACTGATTAATGTGGAAGTGATATATCAAAACGTTTATAAATATATATAAATAATGAAATAAACAAAACTTAATGTTTCAATAAATGAATTAGCTATAAAATACGATAAAAGAGATATCTACCTGATTCAGCATGAAACATTTTACAATTATAATCTGATGTATGAATTTGGCATGATAATTTGATACAAAATTATTATGATCCATTTTAATTGTGCTCCTCTATAAAATATGAAGCAATCCGAGTGTTGGGTTTAAATATTAAGCAGATGATTGGCACTAATAATGATGATTTTCAAGCAAAAATGGAAAAAACCTATTTCAAGAGTGGGCAACTCTTGGCACATGGGTCAAACATGGCATGCCGAGGACTTTTCCATCATGCAACCCAGAGCTCACCTTAAGAAATAAATATCCAAAACCTTTACAGAGTTGTGTATTTTAACTTACAGGCAGCTAGATGACAATAAAGAAATCACTCCACATTTTATACTTTTTTTTTTATTTCATAAAGAATTTATCAGATTTTAAGTGCATATATACATGTGGATTTTTGATTATTTGAAAAGTTTAGCTCAATACTTAATAGTCAAAATAATAATTGCTCCTAAAAACTTCAGTTGACATGCGAGACAATTTTGCATCATAAATTTAGCAATTTTGGCATGCAAACTTAAAAAGGTTGCCCACCCAACCTATACATTCTGCAGCCAAGATTTATAATTAATTGTAAAGTCTCACTTTACTTCTGTTCATGACATCATCACAAGCATTACTTATATTATATATGAGAATTATAATTTTTCATCCAAATATGCTTAAAAATGACTTAGATAAAAGATCAATGAAACTAATACATAATATATACTGCTGTGTTTAGATATGTCATATTTATAAACTTTCAATAATTACAAATTTCTAATTTTTTTTGTAATAAAATATGTTCAAGATTTTAATAATCTAAATTCCCTAATTTAAGAATTATATTTTATATCTAGCTCAATGCAATTTATCTATTTTAAGTTAACTGATTTACAATGATTGATCATAAGACATTAAAAACTTTAAAACGCTTTTACAATATAATTTAAGAGTTCTGAATTACAACATTGTGTGAAAAAAGAAAAGAATTAATTTCTGAGGGTAGATAAAATCATTTGTATTAAGATATATGGAAGTAGAATTAGATTAAAAAATTTGAAAATATTAAATTAAATTTATAATACTCCTACACTAAACTAAAATCATTGTAATCTAAATGAATTTTTGCTAAACATAGTCCATTTTTTTCTTGGTCCCTGTTTAAAACGATTAAAAGTTATATTTTATCAGGAAGATAAAATTCAATGCTGAGAATGAAAAGTATATGGCATTAAAATGGTTGAATTAATCAAAACACCTTTAACAGTGAATGAGATTTACAAATTGAATTGTCTTCAGGCATGACAGTTGGAAGTAGAATCTTCCAACTGTCTAATGCCTAAACATGATCCATTAACTCAAGTCAGAAACAGTGCTCTTTAAACTTTACTCACTGTTAAAGGTGCATTGATTAATTTTCAGCTGAGTAACCACAGTGGCTAGTTCATCCTCATGAGTATAAATTTTAACAAAATCTATATAATGAATAGAGGATGTGCAAACATTATAGAATCATCTAGTATGTAGAGTTGTAGTAGTAGAAGGGAACAAGACTCTGCAGATTTTATTATTTAATAATTCAAATGACCATAATTTAGATGTATATAATTGAATTATATATAAATATATGAAGAGGAGATGTAGTTACTGTGTATATATATTTATATTTATTTATTCATTCTCATATAATAGTGATAGAGTAGTTTCATTTTGGTAATTAAAATATCCAAATACATTATTTTTTTCATCCCAAAGAATTAAGTAATAAGAGATAGATAGACTCAATTAATTAACAATACCTGAACATATTTTCTTCTATGCAGAGTTCAACTACAAAATCAATGATTACATACTTATTTTAAAATATGGTTATTTAATTTTAAATACAGCAATAGAAAAATAAATTTAAATTATATTATTTTACAATATTATTTTTTTAAGGAGATTTTTCTAAGAAATATGCAAGAATAATTTTATTTTAAATTTAACTGGTAAATTATTCAGCTTAAAAAATCAATCATTTCCATCAGTTTATTGGAAATACACAGGGCTATTGAGAGGGGAGAGCTAAGATTTTTCTCTGTGTCTGGAGAATTCTTAGGAGTCCATAATAGTTTCTATCCCTGTAAATTATTATTTTTACTAACAAAAAAATAAACACTTTAAAATTGCTTTTCATTAAGAAAGTTCATGTATTTTATTTGTTCAAAATAAAAAAAGCAAAAGGGACAAGCTCTATCCCTTATAACCTCTTGACAGCCCCAGTAATACAAGTTTTTATACATTTATATTTATAAATATAAGCATCACAACAACACAATTATTTTATTGTGACATTGTCACAATGCCAAGCTGCAATTTTTAATCATATTTTTTAATTTATTTAATATAAAATATATGCTCTTCATCTTGAAATTAGTATTGTCTTGCCCCTGTACATCATACTTTACCTTTACCAACCAAGTTGCGCCAGTCATCTACCTAACTTCTTTCAGGAAAAATTTTAAAACTAAAATAACGTGACTTCCAGTTTGCTTTGGAAGTTTGCATATAATTAATTGGGGCCTCTTGCCCTTAAGCTTTCCATATCTGTTCTTGGCTTTTATTTATCTATTCTCAAGATTAAGGAAGGGCAGATGGATGGATGACAGTGAGAATTTATAGGACTACAATTTTTTCAAATTGCAGCCCAATTAATTTATTTTGTAAGTACATTTGTATAGCATTATTAAGCTGTTATATAATGTTTGCCAACTTTTTATAAATAAATCTAATTAATGACATTGATATTAAACAGGCAACATTTTTTTTTTATTGAATTAATATGCTAACTCATTTGTAAATCTGTCTAATAAGAATTAAATGGATTTTGAAACCAATAAAGCTATCAGAAATAATCAACAGTAATTTAAACCTAATAGAATACCTACTTGATCTTATCTAAATTTCTATTTGCAACAAATAGACATATCAGATAGAGAGTCTACTGACCATTTTAAATATACCTATTAATTTTACATGAAAATTTGAACCAATTAGTTTCATTGAATCAACAGATCTATTAGTCCTTTACATCTTTATAGGTATAAATTACCATGAAAAATCAATAAAAAATTCAAACAGAAAAAACTAAACAAGTTTAGAAATGTTTTCATTCTCTTATTTCCTCTCCATTATCCTTTATTTAAAACATCCATTTGGACTATCATTAGAAATCTTCCTCATCTATAAGGTTTCACACATTCAATTCTGGAATGATTGCATTAATGTAAATTTTAATTAATAAAATCAGAATAGGAGAAACTGCATGACTGAGGAGGATTTAAGAATAGTTGCACATATTCTCCTGAGAACAGAATTTTATAAAAGAATTGATTATTTAATTGAAAAAATTTTCAATTTATTGTTTCCTTTCATTTTATTTTTCAAAGAATTAACTAAATAATTCAACTCAACAATTTAAAATGCTTTTTCATTCATTCCTATATTAATATAAATAATATTTTTATGCAGATGTAGCCCTAACTGATCAGACTGAAGAAATGAATTCCAGCCTGATAATAACAAGAACAGCAGCCAAGTTTGCCAAAAATATTTATTTTTCTATAAATGAAATCAAGTTTAACATATTATTTCATTCATTTCTTATATTCAAATAAAAATAGAAATATGTTTAATTACTAATTAAAAAGTTACTCGTGAGCTTAGTTTTTAAAATGTATTTCTTCTTAATAAGATTATTAGAACAAAATAATGTATTATTGTGATATGAAACAGAAGTGAATAAATTAAAATTCAATCAGGAATGCAATGAAAGTGATTTGGAAAATAATTTATGAAATTAAAAAGGAATTGATTCTACTGAAGACTAGAGATGAAGTTTCAAAAACAATTTAATAGTAATAGATATAAACATAATCTTTATAAGTTATGATAATAAAAATGGTTTAAAATAAATTCAATTACTTTTCAGCTCCTTATATTGATTTTATACATATATCTTCATGATAAAAGAGTTATTTTAGGCATTTTCTTGATGTTTTGTGAATTTATTACAACTAAAGATTTACTCCATTAAAACATTTTTTCTTATTTCAATTTTGTGAAATCAATTTTTTAAATCTACTCATTACTTTTTCATCATCAATTGATATGAAGTTGAAACAATGTTTTCTATGATAAATTCTGTTGAAATACACAAATTTCTTAGCAAGAAACTTGAACTTTTCGATGTGATTTCTCTTCAGAGATATTCTTAAATAATTTTTAAGCAATCTGATATATCATTTTATTATATTACAGCAATAAAATCAATAAAAATAGATTTGTAAACTCATTACATTTTAAATAATTACACTTAAGTCATTTAAGCCATTTTATCACGAAATTAATAGTTCAAATTATATTCTAATAATTTATTTTTTATGAAACAAAGAAAGGAACGACAAAAATTTCTTTTAAAAGCATTCTTATTAATAAAATCAATCATTATCATCATCTTGAATAAAACTGTTAAAAAGTTATCACATTATTTAAGATTTAAAACTAATCATTTTTAAAAATATCTTGAACTAATTCATAAATTAAAATAAATGAGATCCTAATATTAGAAATCTGATGATGACTATTTCCAATACTGAATATCCTCTTTTAATTCTTTAGACTCTTTGGACAAATATGTCTTTAGCATACTTGTTAGAACTCCTTATTTCTAATTATAACAAAAAAATTTTTTTATTATTCAAAATGGAAGCAAAATTCTATTCTTCCAAAATTAAAATTGGAACACATTAATTACAAAAAATAAAATTTATTATCATCTGTAGAACATAAAAAGATATATAAATAATATGAAAAATATCTGTTTTAATGTTTTAAACAAGACAAATATTAAATAATTAAATAAAACAAATGCTTTTAAAAGAGTATAAATCATTTCAAAATATCAAATAATTTTGAACTACTCTTCCATTCTCAAGACTTATCATGTAAAAATATTCTATTAAGTCACAGCGGCAACTATAACTATTGAACTTTACAATAATTAAATATTTTTATATAAGGAATGCAAAAAAGTATTTGAAGAATATTTTCACTTTAATTAGAAGTCTGAAGATAATGTATGAAAAGAGTTATAACATTATAATCTTATTTCATCCACTAGTATGTATTTTCTATTAACAGGACTTATATAAGTCCTATTAATAGAAGTCCTGTTAATAGAAAATACGTACTAGTGGATGAAATAAGATTATAAAAAATTAAGGACATTAAGGCATATTAATTTAAGAGTTATAACATTTTTAACAGATAAAAAAAATTGTTATAAATAATACACAATGTAAATAAAGAAATAGATTCATATATAATTCTATCATACGTTTTATAATGTCTTCAATTATTTATGTAACATTATAAATTATCTATCACATGTAACTTTCCACTCTTTTCTTAGATAAGATCCAAGATTTCTAGAGAGTTCTCAAATATGTAATGATCCATTCTAAAAGAATTGAAATTATGGAATATTAAATTTTCAAGAAGAATTAATAAAGATTAATAAAGTAGTTTTAAAGACTGATAAAATGTTAAACCAGATGATTTATTATATTCTATTAAATTCTGTAACTTCAAATTGTTAAATTCCAATTTAACAATTTAAAGTTTATAATCAAAATTATTCTGAACATTTTCCTATTTTAATATTAAAAAAAAAATATATTTAAATAACAAATTACCTATTTTCTCATTGCTTTTGCTAAATACACAATATCAAAATTGTCAGAAGCAGAAAGTATTTTCAAATAATAAACTAAACACTATCAACGATGGATTAAAGAAGTAAAATTTAATGAATAACAAATAGCAACAAGATTACAACTTTCTAGAATTCTAAATCATTCATGTGTTTTTATATAATAAATAATCTGCTAATCAGCTTTTCTATATTATCATCATCAAATTAAATCCAAAGTAAAGATTGAAAACTGCATGATAATGCTTTCTTTCATTATTGGTATATATACTTCATATAATCAGAGCCAGATTAAGAGGAGAAAAAATGCCACTCTGCATGAAATTTGAAGTATGCTCCCACCCCACTCCTCTGAAACTGAATTTCAAAAACAAATTACATTCAGTAATTCATCTTTCTTTATTTGTTTTATTTCTCTCTCTCTCTCTTTGTTTTTTTAAGATGTTGACCAATTATTGGATGCAGATATTGTGCACATATTATATGCAGGGCTGAATTAACTATGTTTATAATAAATGCTAACTTCATAATTACTTCTCCATTTAAGGGATTTTATTTTATTATTATTTAGAATTTAAATGATTTCAAATAATTACATCCATAAACTTTGCCCTAATTGTTCAATAAAAAATTATTATTAATCTATTCATCGAATAAATTATGAGCTAAACTAAATATAACTATTATTATTTTGTACATAGAATATTCTTAAGAAAAAAAAAGTTTTAATTGTATTTTAGTTAATGGCAAATGGCAAAGCAGTTATATTATAGTTATACTTAACTTTACGTTTGGAGACATTATCATAGTTTGATTCAACTGTTCATTTGACACAATGAATTTCTTACAAATTACTTCAAGTAGCTTTTTGAAGTGAAATCCAAATGTATTTGTTCATGTCAAATTTTACAACCCATCTTCTGTATCTACATAAATCAATCTAAATCATGAACTAATTAAAGATATGTAGATAACATTGAAATATATTCCTGTTTAATTTTTTTCTTATGAACAGTTTATGTATAGTTTATGCAATTACCTAACTGCTCAAAAGTTTAATGAATAAAGATACTTTTATACACTGAAGTGTCAAATATTGTATATATCAAAATTGTGATATTTAAATTCATTAGAGTTTGAATATCAGAAAATATACATAACAAAAACTAGAGTTGAAGTGATAAATTACTTGTTAAATCAAAGACGTAAGATTACTAGAGAGCATATTTCTAAATGTTTGGTTTATTGTTTATTGGAGAAATGCAATAAAATAAATACTAATATACTTATTTAAACTAATTTTATAAATTTTGTATGGCATAATCACTGTAAATCAAGTTTATCCATAAGTACATTGAACTAAATACATAATTTTTAAAAAATTCAATATTTTTACTTAGACAAATACAAGTTTATAGAAAGGAACGNTGAATTAAATATAACATTGTATAAGGATTATACATCTTTATATTGTATAAATATAACAATGTAAACAACACAATATTACATTTTTATTTAATATAATATTGAAAAAGCAAATTAATTAACAATATTTGTTACCAACAACATTGAGAATCATTTTATAATTATTGTAAAATATTTACACAATATAAACCATATTTTTAGTATTAAAAGGGAAGAACTTATTATTTGGTCACTTTTTTCTTTTAAAAAATGTAAAATTGTTTAATAATTCATTGTAATTTAATATAAACATAAATATATTAAGTCACATAGAGATTCTGATAACATATAATAAAAGAAATTATATATTAAATTATAGATATAATAATTAATTTTTCATTCAAAACAAATTTATTTTTTAAATTAAATATATTTTAATTTTATAAAAATAATATTAAAACTTTTAATGTTATTCCTACATTTAAAATACTTGAAGTCTCTAGAAATTTATAAAGTTATAAATGAGAAAAAACCAAATAAAGTTAACATATTTTCAAGAGAATTGGCATTACCATTCAATTTTCTTAGATAAAGACACAATTCTTATTTATGCAGCAACTATAGGCACTATCTGGAATCTTTATTTAGCCTACAAATATATTTCAGGCATAGAACTTCTTTAGTGTACAAACAGGAAAGAGAAGAAAAAATTCCCAAACTGCAGAACAGTAAGCTATGAGTTTAAGATTGCACTATTAATTGTAAGATTCACATTGGTGAATTGATTTTTCTCCTGGATTTATGTCACACACTAACTTTTCTCAGTGATGATTTGAAAGTGATGTACATAAAACTCTTAAATGTTTAGCATATATTAAAGAGTGATGTAACAAAACCATTAATAGACAAATATATATGTATGGTAAATATAAAAGTCCCAGATTTCCTCAATTCTTTTTTTATACAGGTGAGATGAAGATTAGAAAGGCCTACGATCTTATACAATACATTTGTAGCCTAAATAAAGACTCCAACAGTAAACAGGGCCTGTGTGATGCTGGATAAATAATATTCGTGTCTTTGTCTATAAAAGTTAATATAGCTGAATGGTTGTGATTCTTTGGTTGAATGCATCTCTATAAAATGAAGCATTAGAACTTCATTTCACAGTATACAAATCTGAATTGATCTAGCTTTTAAACATAAGAAAATTATTTTACTATGGCTAGTTTTCAAATGTTTTTAGATCAACACCTATTCATTATTATTATCACAATCTAAAATGTTTAATAATTAAATACTTTAACTTCTAGAATATGCAGATAATTTGTGTTATGTACAGTTTGATTAAGGGCTTATTCTTTTGACATTCATTATAAGTAATTATATTATCTCAAAAATACTTCTTTAAATGGAATACAATTATAATTGCCATGATATTATATATGCAAGCATACAAATAAAACTATAAATTTTGTAATGCCTCATTGAAAACAAAAGTGAAATAACTTTTAGTACTATGTAAAATATATTTTAAATTCATTGAATGAAAATCAAATGCATGAGAATTAATTCTTGTAGCATAATATAAATGCATTATTGTGCTTTACAGTTTTAATTTAATAAAATGAAATGCATTTAAAAAAATGATACTTCTTAAATTTAAAAATTTTTAGTTTATGAACTAGGAAATAGTTTATGTAAAATATTTTAATAACATATAAAAAGAATAAATAATAAATCAAACTATAGAGCTTTATAAAACGATTTATGATGGAAAAGTTTGCAGACCACATGAAGATAAAAAAAGAATTAAGAAACGACAACTCTTAAGTTCAAAATAATGCTATAATATTTTATCAATATTATCATGTTTGTAGAAAGAAATGAAGTGAAATGTGATGGATGAGGATTAAAATGCAAATTTAGTTTTAAGATAGTGATGACAATAAGAGAGAGAGCATTAGTATAAATCAAAAACCAGTAATATATATTAATAAAATGTTACCCAATATATTGAGAAATAAATAAACTTAATGGATGCATAAGAACATATTGAAAAAGAATATGACAGTAAAGAGATATACATATGATTTTTCCATGAGATGAAGCAATATTAATATGAGATAAACTAATGACCAGATTGAACACATTAAAGAAACAATGCAATTTCTGAAGAATGCTTGATTAATTCTACAGTAACCATTGAATTATCTGTTTTCTGATATCAATTCTACTTGGATTCAATGTAAGACTTTCAACAATGTTTGACTTGTTTACAAATCAACATAATGATTTTTAAAAGAATAATTTGTAAAAAAAAGTTGTTTTCAAGATTTTTAAATAATAATTTATCATTTATCTAATAAACACTAAAAACAAAATAAAGAAATTATTTTTGAAATTATATATATCATGATTATAATTAAACCTAATTATAGAATTTCTAAATTATGAATAGATATAAAATATAAATAACTAGTACCCAAGGTGATAGTATGTCTTAAGAGATTGAATTCTTATTTTGGTTAGTCTCACTCCTTCAGTATTTG